TATATAATGTAATTTTTAAATAAATGTATTTAATATTTTTCAAAAACATTTTTAAATATATTAAATTGTTTCTTTTTAATAACAATTATTTAAATTAAATTAAATATTAAATGTGCTATTAAATTAAATAATTATGTTTATCTTGTTATAATCCATGTAATTGAAAATATACACTAGTGGTCAAAAGTTTGGAATAATTAAGAATTTTTAATGTTTTTGAAAGAAATCTCTTATGCTCTAAGAGGCAATAGACACAGTGGTTCAAAATTACCTAATATATTACGGATTCCATAAAAATATGAAGGAAAACTGTTTTTAACATTGATAATAATACAAAATGTTTCTTGCAGAGCAAATCAACATGTTAGTGTGATATTTAAAAGTCATGTGAAGCTGAAAATTCAGCTTTGCCATCACTCTAATAAATTACATTTAAAATATATTAAAACAGAGAATAGTTCTTTTAAATTGTAATAATATTTCACAATATTACTGTTTTTACTGTATTTTTCACTCTTTTTCATCTTAACAATCGCTATCTTTTGACCCGTAGCGTGTATATATATTTTTTATTTTTCTTTATTATGACTTTTATAGCCTTGCGGATTATAATAATATATGATGTTAGTCAATATTCTTGGCATCTCTTTCTTTTTACACACATACAACTGAATACTACATGTTTCACACACTATACTGGTTTACACTCAAGAAATGACCTGACTGGATCAAATGAACACTGAAGACAAAAGAATATCTAAACGCGTACGATAAGCAGATGATAGTACCATGGAGGGGGGTGTTATATTTCAGCCATCTGTTATTGGCTGTTGTGAATCTTTTGCCCTGTCCTCTGACCCTGGTGTGTAATACTCGGCGTGTTGCAGGTGTGTCTCATGTCGCTCTCTCTGTATGTGTGCAGCTATGCAGCAGGTGTTGGATAACCTGGGCGAGTTGCCCGCCACCACCGGGGCTAAAGACATTGACCTCATCTTCCTCAAAGGCGTCATGGAGAGTCCTATCGTCCGCTCGCTGGCCAAGGTATAGCGCACACAGCTGCCTAGACCTTACTCTAGCTGATTTGCATTGCTGATGAGGTTAATCTGAAACCAAATTGAATTTGTGACTAATTAAGACTGAGTGATATGAATAATTATTGGATATTAAACTTGTGTTTGAACAGCACACTCATTATCGACACATTCACAAAGTCACGTAGACTTGTTCAATGAAACCGTGTCATGCCGATTCGTGTCAAATTGACAGAGGAGCAGCTAGACACGGTCAGAAATATCACTTCATGGATTGATTGATGAAATGATGAGATGATTGTGATCAGGCTCATGAGCGTTTGGAGGATGTGAAGTTGGAAGCAGTGCAGGAGAATAACGTGGAGCTTGTGACTGAGATTCTGGGTGACATCAGCAGACTGAGCGTACGAGATGACAGCGCAGCAGAGCTCTCCAAAATCCTGCAGGAGCCCCATTTTCAGGTACAGTATTTTCTTGTACCTTCCTGTCTCATCTCTTTTTGTACCTTCTCGTTTTATATCTTCTCATCTCATTTCATCACATACCTTATAACAGGGTTCCTCAAATCTTGCCCTGGAGGGCCAATGCGCTGCAGAGTTTAGCTCCAACCCTGATCAAACTTACTTACCTGTGATTTTCTAATGATCCTGAAGACATTGATTAGCATGCTCAGGTGTGTTTGATTAGGGTTCGAGCTAAACTCTGAAGGAAAGTGGATCTCGTGGGCCAGATTTGAGGATCCCTGCCTTATAATCTAGTCTAATTTTGTACCTTCTCTTCTCATCTCATTTAATTTCATACCTTAACTTCTTGGCTCATCTCATCTCATACGCCCTCTTCTCATTTTATCTTGTACCTTTTCCTCTCCTCTAATCTCATACCTTCTCTTCTCATCTTGCACATTCTCTTCTCGTCTCATTTCATCTTGCACCTTCTGTTCTCTTTTCATCTCATCCCTGCTCATCATCTTGCACCTTCTGTTCTCTTTTCATCTCATCCCTGCTCATCTAATGTCTTACCTTCTCTTCTTGTCTCATCTTATCTCATACCTTCTCATCTCATCTTAGACCTTCTTGTCTCATCTCTCATGTTTTCTTCTTTCCTCATCTCATCTTGTACCTTCTCTTCTTGTTTTTGCTTGTCTTCTTTTCTTCTCGACTTCATCTTATCTTATACCTCTTCTTGTCTCACATTGTACCTTCTCCTCTCATCTTGTCTCATCTCAAACCTCATTTCACCTCATCTTGTACCTTCTCATCTCATCTCATCTCTTCTCTTGCATTCTCTTCTTGTCTTATCATGTACCGTCTCATCTCATCTCATTTCATACCTTATCTTCATCTATCTTAATGTTGTTGTCTCATCTCATAACTTCTCTTCTCATCTTGGCTCATTTCTTGGCACCTTCTATTCTGATCTTGTGTCATCTCATCTTGATCCCTCTCTTTTTTGTCTCATCTCTACCTTCTCATCTTGTACCTTCTCAATTTTTCTTAAATATTCCTCAATATATTTTCTCATTTTTTCTGCGGTATTTTGTTCTAATTTTCTCTCTTTATTTCAGTCTCTTCTGGAAACCCATGACATCGTGGCGTCTAAGTGCTATGAAGCCCCACCCCCTCCTGAAGTGACCAATGATGCGGCAGTAAACAATGCTCTTATGCAGGCTGATGCAGTCAGGATGATTGGCATCCGCAAGAAAGCAGGAGAACCTCTGGTGTGTGTTTGCGAATATATATATTTATATGTGACCACATGTTTTAAACTTTCAACCAGTCATAATTTAATAAGTCAATAAAGGCCCGTTCACACCAAGGACGATAACTATAAAGATACTGATATTAGCGTCCACACCAGCAAACGATATCATCTGTTTATTCTAAGCACACGCTTGTCTGCCGCTTTAAATTCTCGAGCTCATTACAGCAAGATTGATTCTGATTGGCTGTCAATTTTTTATTGTTCATCAGCTGGAGAAAAATCGCTTTGAAAGTGATTCCAACGATATCGTTTCACTTTGTCTTTATCGTTATAGTTGTGGTGTGGACTCTGCTATTCTTTAATATTGAGAACGATTTTTAGAACTATATCTTTATCGTTATCTTTATAGTTATCGCCCTTGGTGTGAAGTGTGAATGGGCCTTAAAGGGTCATGAAACCCCAGACTACTTTTTCTGAGATTTTAATTATTCACAACAGCATGTGTTGATTTGCTATGACAGACGTTTCAGACTGAGATGACATCGCGCACAATAACTGAGAGAAACGTTCATGCATGGATCGAAGAAAAGTGTTTGTTTTTGCTTTGTAATAAGAATTCGGCACAAACGCGATTCATTCACTTGGTGAGCATAACCGTTTTTACAGCTCTGTGACACAGCCCGTCAAAAAGGCTTATATAAACACCACAGAATAAGCCTTAAAAGTTCTCAGAGGTGCAACAGCGCATTCATATATATGTTTTCGATGCAGAGTGCAAATGGATGTGCATTTGTGTTTTTAACTTGATGGGAGCAAAATGAAACTGTCCGAAAGCTAAGCTGTGTGAGTTGTCTGTCTCCCCTCATCCCCCTCCGCTCCGCTGCGCACCACACCCACTTTTTTAGCGTTTTTTAAAACTGGTGAGAACTAACTAGTGCTGAAACGGGGAGGGGTTTCCATGACCCTTTAAAGGAATTGTTCACCCAAAAATGGAAATTCTGTCATCGTTTACTTTCTTTCTTCCATGGAATACAATGGGTAGATTATAAAAGATTATATTTTCATAGGACTGAAAAAATCACACACAAAAAAAATCACATTAAAAAAGTGTATTTATTGTAATATATTACTTTAAATAAATGAATGAATACACACACACACACGCACACATATATATATATATAT